GTTTCTACCATGGTAATGGGCCATTTGAAACCTGATGCTCTGATACCAAAACTGATGCAGTAGGACTGGAACAAACTAACACAAAACAAAAAGAGAGAGGAAGAGAGAGAGAGAAATCCCATGGAATCACTCCAAGGGGTCCTAGAGTCACTCTAGGGTTTGTAGGAATCACTCCATACAGCAAGAGAGCTCTTAAGAAATCTTCATTCATTCATTAGCCTCAAAAGGAAGAGAATACATCTATTTATAATGACTTGTGTGGCCCGGAACACTGTTCACCACAATTACAAGAAGTGCCACTCTGTCTTGTGCATCAAGAAACACAATAACTTTCTATCTACTAATGCAAATAAACTGAAAATTGAAAGACAAGCACTACTAAGCTATGGGAACAAGATGCTATAGCCCAAGTCCACATTGGGCTGGTCAAAATGACGAAAATACCCCTGACCAGATCAGTCCAAGTCCCAAGAGTCTTCTCCATGCCAAATCAGAACCTGTTTGTTGGCCTTCTTCTTACGAGAATAGGTCTTATAATGCATGGACTGATCCCCATCAGTCCATGAGCTGGTTGATCCATCTAGCATCATAAAAAATCCTAGCAAGAAAATCAGTTTGGCTTATGGTAATGCAAATTATCTTCCACTTGATAAAATTACCTCATCAGTCAGGTGAATGATCTTTCCTCTCATGCCACCAGATACATCCCTTTCTATAATGGAGGGTGTCAATCCTGAATCGTCCATGTCTCAGAATAGAAGATTTGGCCCTTATACCACTGAGCCTACTGAAATACTGTTTTCATTCAAAATCATGATCATATAGAGCTGGAAAGAAGAAGAGAGAAAGGGAAGAGAGAAGGGAAGAAAGAATCCCCACTGTGTTTATATTAGGGTGATTAAAATTAAAACAACTGTAAATACAGTTCTGTCCTTGGCAGCCCACTATATTAAACAGACAAAATACAAAAGAAAAGAACATGCTGACATCATTGTTACTCTGATAACAGGTTGACAACACTCCCCCTCAAGTTGGGCTGTATATGTCAATCATGCCCAACTTGTCACAAAGTTCATTGTGCCGCAAATAATGAAGACCTTTTGTGAGAACATCAGCTAGCTGCTCCTTAGAGTTAACATAGGGAGTGCGGATTTCCCCCTTATCAAGATTCTCTCTTATGAAATGCTTATTTACCTCAATGTGCTTTGTCCTATTGTGGAGAATAGGATTTGTTGCATTGTTTATAGCTACTTTGTTATCACAATAAAGGGACATAAGACTGTCAACATTGAACCTAAGCTCTCCAAGCTGATTCTTCAACCAAAGCACCTTATCCACCCCATGTGCCATAGCTCTATTACTCAGCTTCGGCACTTGACCTTGCAACCACACTTTGTTTTTTTACTTTTCATGTCACCAGATTTCCACCCACAAAAGTATAATACCTACTCGTGGATTTTCTGTCATCCATAGCACTTGCCTAATCAGCATCTGTATAAGCTTGCACCTTCAAATGGCTATGTTTGCTGAATAGTAAACCAGTTTCTAGATATTTCTTTAAATACCTAAGGATTCTCTTGGTAGCCTTCAAGTGTGGAACCTTAGGTGAATGCATGAACTAGCTTAGAACCCCAACAACATAAGCAATGTCGAGGCATCTCATAGACAAATATAACAATCTTCTCACTAACCTTTGGAAGTGTTTTACATCCTTCAGAGGTTCACCACCACAATCACCCAATTTATGGTAACATTCATAGGAGCATCTGCTGGCTTTGCACCAAGTTTGCCTGTATCTTGTAAAAGATTGAGGATGTACTTCCTTTGAGAGATGAAGGTACCCTTTAGGGAGCGGGCAACCTCAATCCCAAGAAAATATTTTAGAGGTCCTAGATCTTTCACTTCAAATTGTGAGGATAAGAATTGCTTCAACTTGTATATCTTAGAGTCCCAGTTCCTTATAATGATGATATCGTCTGCATACACTATCAACGCGACAACTTTCTCCTGACATCTTTTAACAAAGAGAGTATGATTAGATTGGTATTGTTTGAACCCTACTTGCTAAACTACCATATGAAACTTACTGAACCATGCTCTAGGGGATTGCTTTAAGCCATACAGAGATTTTCTCAACTTGCACATCTTATTTTCACTTCCTTTTGCACAGAATCTCGGTGGCTGAACCATATACACCTCCTCTTCCAGACCACTATTTAAGAAAGCATTTTTTTACATCAAGTTGCTATAACTCCCAACCAATATTTGTTGCCAATGATAGAAGCACCCTATTCAAATGATTTTTGTCACTGGAGCAAATGTTTCATTATAATCAACACCATACACTAGTATATCCCTTTGCTACTAGCCTTGCTTTGTACCTTTCTACTATCCCATCTGCCTTATGTTTCACTATAAACACCCATCTACACCCCACTTGTTTTATCCCTTTTGGAAGATCCACCATTCTCAAGTATGGTTCTTATGGAGAGCATTAATTTCCTCTTTCATAGCATTTGTTCATTCAGGAATGGGGTATTTGGGTATGGGAATACTATCAATGACAAACAAAAAGGCATGATAAGAAGGAGAAACATTGTCATAGGACACATAATGGTTAATGGGGTGTTTGGTAGTGCATGACCTGTCCCTTTTTCTTTGGGCATGGGAAGGTCAAGATCATCCACAATTGAAATGGGAACAAGGGAATCAATACAAACAAGGGTACTTGGCTCAATTGGACTTACCTCTTGGGAGTTTGAAGGTGTCAGTCGCTCGGTATCTGGTAGCTCCACATCTTGAGGACACTGCTGATCTCTATAACGCTTACATAGGAATACACAGAAAGAAGAAAGATCCAAAATAGAAGGAAGAAAGACCGATTGGTGGACCTATTTCTCCTCCTTTGTACTATTCTCCCCCAAGGAGAAATAGGGTAGAATGGTTCTGACTCAAGAAAGGAAACATCCATAAAGACAAAGTACTTACGACCAATGGGATCAAAGTACCGGTAACCCTTTTGAGAAGAGGGTACCCAAGGAAGATACATGAGATAGACTAAGAATCCAACTTACCATGGGAAGGGGGCAAGTCATGAACAAAGGCATATCAACCAAACACTCGCATTCGATTGATGACATATGCAACGGTAAGTACATCATCTATCCAAACCTGCTTAGGTACATTCATATGTAACATCATCTCTTGTGCTACTTCAAGAAGGTGTCTATTCTTTCATTTTACAACACCATTTTGTTGTGGTGTTTTTGCACATGAACTCAGATGAAGTGATCCATGGGAAGTAAAGAATTCAATGAGATCACCATGGAACTATTATTTTGTATTATCTGATTGAAATATTTGGATGTCAACATGAAATTGTGTAAATACCATTCTCTGGAAATCCCTTATAATCATTGGAACTTTGTCTTTGGCCCACATGGGAAATACCCTTGTATAGCGAGAAAGTCATCAATCAATGTAATAAAATACTTATAACCTCCCTCGGAAGGTATAGTGGTAGGTCCCATACATCTAAACACAATGTGAAAAGGAAAGTTTGATCTTTTATTACTTGAATGAAAAACAGTTCTACATTGCTTACTCAACTGACACATTTGACACTAAAAATCTAACACTGAACATGACTTAAATAAAAAGGAAACAAAGACTTCAATATTACGAAGGACACATGACCCAAATGATTATGCCATAACTATACTCAACTCTTATTTGATTGACTCAGCTAAGTATGTGACTCCGAAGTTGACGTCGAGAAACTAGCCTTGTTGTTAGAAGTGTAAAGGGCATCTACTAAGTTTTCTTTAAAAATCGTCCTCCCAGAAGTTAGGTCCTGAAAAACACATGAACTAGGAAAAATGTTACACTACAATTTAAGGAGCTTGTGATACTACTAATTGAAAGTAAACTGATAGGAAGCTTAGGAACATGCAATACATTACTAAGGTTCAGACCATGGAAAAGAGATATTGATTTGTAGCATGCAATGGAAGAGAAATCTCTGAAGAAATAGTTGGTTAGCCACGAGTGTGGGGTTCCATACCCACACTCAGGCTCTAGTGTCTGTGGTCAGCACTAGAAACCCTCACAACACATCTCACGAATAATATTTTCAGTTCTGCAACATATAAAAGAAACTTGCTACATACCAAAACTTAGTTCGAAGATCATGTACCTGTCGAGAAGAGGGTACCAAGTCTGCATTGTCACCATCACAAAACCAGCCCTCTTCGAATTGCGAGTAGAGGGTTTTCTACCAACCACAAAACCACAACGACTGCACTCATTGGAGGCATGGAAACCCCCAAAAGGAGAAAACGACCAGTCCTTTTCTTTCTTTCTGGAAAACACTCTAAATATCAATGAGAATTCTGCAAAACCCTAGAGAGGAATGCACAGAACAGAGAGAAAAGGAGGCAACTGATCTGAACCGATTATCGTGGCTCTGATACCATGATAAAACTCAGATTAGATGTTCGTATATGTTCAGATCAGAGGAAAGAGAAGGAAAAGAGAGAGAGAAGGAGAAGAAGAAAGAGAAGAAAAAGAAGGAGAAAAGGTCACAGCCGAACTAGAGAGAAAAAAATCAAATCCCTCTAGTTGGCCCTTCTTTTATTTATACTCTTCTAAGATATACAAGGATTACCATTGTGCCCTCACTTAAGTGAGAGCCACATCAGCTGAGCAGTACATATATAACTAAACATAAAAGGACTGTACTACCCTTGTACAGCCGACTCTAACAGTGGAGATACTTGAGCAGACTCATCTGATTGATCCAGGCTACAGAGCGATTTCAGAATCAAACATCCCTATTCGTAGATAAGGAAGAATTTTGCCAATCTTCACTTTCATCTCTTGTCAAAATCCTAACCTGCATTTAGGGAGATTTTCTGCCTCTCATTCTTCTGTTTTTAACCTTCAACCTCCTGTTACTTCTTCTGTCTCTCATCATCTTTTATCTCCATCTCTTTTTTCAGGTTCAAATGAATTGTCATCCCATCCAAAGCAGAAAGTTCCACCTCAGACAACTGCTCCATCAAGCATTGGTAGGAAGGTGGCGGAGAATTTGGGAATTGTTAACATAGCTGGTGCATTGGGAATTGAAAGAAGAGATGAAGAAGATGAAAAACAGAGAACTTTTGAGAAAGAGAAGATCAAATCTGGAAAGATTCAAGAGAAAAGTAGAAAAAAGGTCCCAAATGAAGGGGAATTCTGTTAGAGTGACCCAATGAAGGTTTTTAGCTGGAATGTCAGGGGTTTGGGAGGTCAGCTTAAAAGAAGCTTAGTGAAAGAAACATTGAAGAGAGAAAACCCAGACATAATTATTCTTCAGGGATCAAAAAAGGAAGTTATTGACAGAAAACTTGTGAAAGCCATTTGGGGAATAAGGGGTAGGAAATGGACTGCTGTTCCAGTGGTGGGATCCGCTGGTGGAATCATCCTAGCATGGAAGGAAGATGAAATTTCAGGTTTGGAGATTGACAAAGGTGAATTCTTAGTCTCGGTTTTGTTCACAGATATTAAAGATGGGTTCAGCTGGATTCTTACCGGAGTGTAAGCCCCAACTCTCCTGATAGAGAGATTTTGGGACGAATTGGATTCCCTGCATGTGGAGGAGGATATCCCGTGCCCCCGTGGTGTTTAGCTGGAGACTTCAACGTCACCAGATTCAGCCTGGAACACTCCAATGGTAGAGCCCCAACCAGAAGTATAAGGAACTTTCTCTAATTTTATTTCTAGACACAACTTGTGTGACCTCTCCCTTACTAATGGGATCTTCACCTGGTCAAATATGCAAGAAAATGTCATAAGTTGCAGACTTGACAGATTTCTGATTTCTCAGGACTGGCTGGAGAGATTCCCTAACCTTTGCCAAGAACTTCACCCAAAGATTCTGGTTATCTCACAAAGATTTCAGCAAAAAGATTGCAGCATGGTGGGAAGATTGCAAAGTAGAGGGTTGGGCTGGTTTCAGGCTATTACAGAAATTAAAAGCTCTGAAGAAAAACCTTAAAGCTTGGGGGAGTGAGGAATTTAAAGCTGTTGAAGAAGAGAAGAAAGAATTCTCACGGAGTTTAGAGAACAAAATGGGACCCTTGATGCTTTAAACAGAAGTAGAAGAGCAGATTTGAGAAAGGAATGGGAACTAGTCAAAAGAGAAGAAATTTACTGGAGACAAAGATCAAGAGTGAGATGGCTGAAAGAAGGAGACAATAATTCCGGATTCTTTCACACTTATGCCTTGGGAAGGAGTAGGAAGAATTTCATCTCTAAGCTGAAACTGAACCAGAGGGAAGTGGAGAATCCTGAGGAAATTAACGAAGCCTTCCTTTCCTTCTTTAAAAACCTTTTCTCCAAGGATAGTAATAACCAATTTACATTGAACAGATGGGAATGCCTAACTCTATCAGCTGAAAAGAGGGTTTGGTTGGAAAGAAGCTTTGAAGAGGAAGAAAAAATGGCTGTCTTCAGCATGGATGGAGATAGGGCTCTAGGGCCGGATGGTTTCCCCATTTTTTTTTCCAGCAGTGTTGGGAAATAGTAAAGTCAGATCTCATGGATTTTTTTCAGGGACTTCCACTCTTCTGCCATTGTTAACAAAGGCCTAAATTCAACCTTTGCCTCATCGCAAGGAAAGGGGGAGTCTTGGAAGTTAAAGACTTTAGACCAATAAGTTTGATAGGGAGCATCTATAAAATTTTAGCTAAGGTTTTGGCCAAAAGACTTAAAGAAGTCCTAGAAGATCTAATTTCCCCAAACCAATTTGCTTTTGTAAAAGGGAGACAAATTGTGGACAGCATTCTAATTGCAAATGGGTGTGTGGAAGACAGAAAATCTTCTGGGAACCCAGGGGTTCTCGTGAAACTAGATCTGGAAAAGACGTATGATAAAGTGGATTGGGATTGTATTTTAGATTGCTTAAAGATGCTTTGGTAGAAAATGGATCAGGTGGATTAAAGGTTGTATTGGTTCTTCTTGGTTTTCAGTGTTGATAAATGGTGAAGCGAAATGCTACTTCAAGGCTAGTAGGGGTCTCAGACAAGGTTGCCCACTTTCCCCCTTTCTATTCACTTTGGTGATAGACATCTTTAACTATCTCTTTGATAAGGCTATTCTCCTTAACTTGGTGAAAGGATTTGAAGTGGGAAGGTACAAGATTCACATTTCACATTTACAGTTTGCTGATGACATAATTTTGTTCTTGGATGCCTCCATAACCAACATCACAAACACTAAAAGGATAATTGAAGGTTTCGAACTTATCACTGGTTTGAGGGTTAACTTTTGCAAAAGTAGTATAGTAGCTCTTTAACTCAGTGGAAGTGGAACTTCTAGAAAGATTGAAATCTTTGTTGGGGTGCAAAGAGGAGAATCTCCCTATTTCATATCTTGGGATGCCTCTTAGAGGGAATCCAAAATCTCTCAACTTTTGGAGACCAATGGTGGAGAAATGTGAGAAGAAACTATCATCTTGGAAGAGGTGTTATCTCTCAGAAGGGGGGAAGGCTTACTCTCTTGAAGGTCTCCTTAGCAAATTTGCCAGTTTACTTCCTTTTAGTCTTCCAGATTCCAACCAAAGTCAGAAATCAGATTGAGAAGCTTCAAAGGAACTTTCTTTGGGAAGGGGGTGGGGAAAAGAGAAGCCATTTAGTCAATTGGAAACAAGTATGCAAGCCTAAAGAGGAAGGTGGTTTGGGAATTGGGCACTTAAAAGAGAAAAAATCTTCTCTCTTAGGCAAATGGCTATGGAGGTTCCCTAAAGAATCCAATGCTCTTTGGACAGCTGTCATCTCAAGCAAATATGGAACAAATGTAAATGGGTGGGATAGCAATCTCCATTTGAACATGATAAAGTCCAAAAATCCTTGGAAAGGTATCATCTCCACCCATACTTCTTTCTTTCCTTTCATAAGATATAAAATGGGAAATGGATCTAAAATAAAATTCTGGAAAGACCTTTGGTGGGGGGAATCTACCCTTGCAACTTCTTTTCCTAGACTTTTTAACCTTACCCTTGACCAAGAAGCCACCATTTCTTCCTGCCTTCCAGACCAAACTGTTGACAACACCCTAAACCTTCGACTTAGAAGACCCCTAAGGGATTTGGAGATTTCTGAATTAATAGACTTAATTGAGACCCTTAAATAAGCCTACATCTCCCCCTCCTATTCTGACACCCGAATCTGGACCCTACACCCTACTGGTGAATTCTCTTCTAAGTCTATGTTCAGGGTTTTGATTGCTGATGAACAACATTCCTCCTTGTAAGAAGATCTAGTGTAGCCACATCCCTTCAAGAGTTTGTTTCTTTGTCTTGGAAGCTTGTCTCCAGAAATTAAATACTTATGATCTCTTGCAGAAAAAGTTTTTGGGAAGACTGTCAATCTCTCCTCATGTTTGCATTTTATGCTTCAGTGAAGGTGAATCAGCAGATCACATTTTTCTTCACTGCAAATTCCCCCAAAAGATTTGGTTCCATTTCTTGAAAATGGCAGGTTACAGCTGGGTTATTCCAAAGCACATTATGGACTCTTTGCATCAATGGCAAGGAACAGGGTTAACTAAAAGGGGTAAAGTTTATTGGCAATCAGTGCTACATGCAATGTTGTGGGGAGTTTGGGACGAAAGAAACAAACGCCTCTTTGACAACAAATTCAGGCCCTTGGAGGAGTTAATTTCGGATATTACTTACCTTTGCAACCTCTGGACGGTGAACTCAGATCTGTTCAAAGAACTCTCAGTTAATGATCTCAATAGAGATGCTTACCCCTTTCTGTTTCTCTATCACCTCCATCAAACATCCTTGAGGCTTCCTGACCCCATCAATGAAGGAGTGATGACCCTTAACTTCGATGGAAGTGCCTCAGGTAACCCTGGCTTAGCTGGTATTGGAGGTACAGTAAAGGATGAAAGGGGCAACATATGTTGGACTTTTAGCAGTCCAATTGGTTTGGCTGATTCCACAAAGGCTGAAGTGATGGCTGCTCTCACAGGAATCAGAGATTCAGAATAATAAAAAATTTGGGAATCCAGAATTTAGTCATTGCAGGTGATTCAGCAAATAATGGTTTAGAGACAAAGAGGGGGGACCTTGGAGATTGAGTCACTATTTGGAAGAGGCTAGGGATTCTTTGGACTGTTTAAATGTAAAATTAGTTTGGATTCCTAGGGAGCACAATCATACTGCGGATGGTTTGGCCAAATGTGGTGTGTATTTGGAGCATTTGTATAGCGACAAGCTTCCTCTGTAATTTGTTGGGGTTCTTCCCCTGCTTTGTACATCTTCTCTTGTACCTCTTCTTCATTTAATGAATCCTGGTTAAATTTTCTCAAAAAAAAAAAATCTGGACTTGCTTCTCTCTGAAAATATGCAATTCCAGGCTTCTAGAAAATTGTTGGATTGGCACTCCGCAGCATAATCCTTGGTCTCACCTGGTTTGTTTTTTGTTTCTTTTTCCTGGTTAATTATAGTTTGTTGGGTTTCATGGCCAGACATAACATGTTAGCCACGAGTTTCCCAAGATGAATTCAACCAATTTCAGACAAGCACTTTCTTTCCTGGAAACACCTTAAGAAAAATGAAGATAAGTAGGGTTATCCATGCTATCAATAAAAAAAATGGTAGGGTTATCCATGCATGCTGAAGTTGGGGTGTAGAGATACAGGATTTGTCTGTGGGATTGGGACCCTATAACTTGCCACCTGTCCCATGTTTTGAGGATTGGGACAGACAATTGGATGGATCATACCTGTTTGGTCCACTTGCTGGAGTAATTAGTCACACAATATTATTCCAATTTCCGATTTGGTTTTTGATACATAAAATCAGAATCATCTGTTTCTAGCACAGCCAGTGTTTTAGTTGAATGCATTCATAGGTGGTTTATGGGTCTTGTGCTCCAAAATCCAAGATGCTACCCTTCATGCATTTCTTTTATTGGCTCGCTGCATTCTTACTCCTAAGGGTTTATTTTAGTAGTATCAACATGGTTTTGGTTCTGTTTCCTTGTTCTCCCCGACTCATTTTTCCTTTATTTGGTTCTTTTTGCTCTTTAAAATTATGCAACCTTTCCATGTTTGGAGTACATCTAGTTTTGACCTTATTCCCTTTCCTACTGGAAAAGACCCTTATATGTAATTTCTACTCTTATGTTCTCTTGCTATAGCTTTAGCTTATCTATCTCTGAGTCATGACTCTTCTCCTGTTGAACTTACCCAACCTGAGTTGGTTAGGAACACTGGTTTGCTTCAACCAGTGTAGATTTAATTCAGGACAGTTTTGCTGCTGCTTTGTTTATTTACTTTTTTCTTTGTTTTTAAGCCAAGCCCCCCTCCTTTTTTCTCCCTTTCACTACCTAGGTAGGTAAAGCTCAATTTTGAATCAAGAAACTCTCCCTGCTCACCTTCCAAATACCAAGAGCTCCGAGGTAAAGAATAGCCATGCTGTTAGATATGGATGCCTTCTTGTTTTGGAGGTACAAACCTGCAGACCTGACTCTTAATGCAGCTTATTGACCTTATTCCATTTTGTAATGTATCAATCAAGAACTTTAGTAGTTGGAAAATGGAAACAAAATGTTTTTCAGATTCATTTTGTAATATTTGAGTTTAGAACCATGAAATTAGACTTGTTAAGGTCTGCAAGGTATTTGCCATTTCTGCTGCTTCTTACTGGAAAGGGTTTTTGAAATCTTTGTTCCAATTTTAACTGTTCTTGAGATGATGAAAGATGTGATTGTGATATGACTTGAATCTTTCTGTACAAATTTTAAAGTATACCACCATGTAGAGGGAATTGTTCAGTGAATAAAAAGATGTTAAACTATCATCTGCAGTTTGATATATAGTATCAATGGCCTGTAGCTCCAAGATGCATCCTGGTATGTTTTAGTGTCTAATTTCTTCTTAATGTGTTTAACTAGAATTTGTTACTCCTACGTTTGGATTTCCAACTTAAAGTTCTTGACTTTGTTTCTTCATATTGTTGCTTTTATAGGAACAACAACAAAAGCAGCTTGAGCTGATTCTTGCAATTTGCAAGGTTGGGAAGCTGAGGGAAAGCAAGCGGAACACTGTCATTGAAGGGGAGACAATTGAACCAAGCAATTCGAATTGTGAGGAGAATTTACAACAAATGGAAACCGAGACTCAAAACCAAGGAGGAATCAGTTACAAGGGAACCAAAACTAACAGAATTTAGAACTTGGGAACAACAAATTCCAAATGGGATGACCTTTATTTCATGCAGCCACCTAAAGTCAAAATCATTCTTTGATATCTGGTTGATGTTGATGAATGCTCTCTGTGAACAAGCTTAGCCAAGTTGGTCTAACCATTTCCTTCAACAAGAAAGCTTCCAGATTTGGTGAATGTGCCTGTTTGTCCTTCCCAACGAGGGAAGTAGTTATCCATGGCTATGTTTAGCCCAGAATTTTAGGCTTATTCGACACTGTATTCTTAATCATCATATTCATCTTGTAATGTCTGGCATGCTTTCATGTCAATAGACGATTGCATCTATGTAAAGGAGTGCTTCATTGGTTACAAGTTTTTTCTCTCTCTCTCTCTCTCTCTCTCTCTCTCTCTCTCTTTCTAATTAATAGACTGTATGCATCACAATCTCAGTCTACAAAGTGCATGCGGTGGAAGTGTGGAGGTGCAACTTCCATTTCTCGACCAGTCTCCCATCTTCCGATCCTACAGCAGCTGCAATAGTACGCATAACAAAACCAAAACAATCAACCAATCAATATTGTTACTGTGCAATTCAGGCATTCCTAGCTGGCTGTTGACTGGCTCGTATCTGGCAACGGACGGCACCTGAGAAGAAGACGGTGAAGAATTCCCGGGGGACTTGCCCGATGGGAATATTCCGATGCTTAAATTAGAACGCCGAGGAAAATAGAAAGAGTGTAAAGAGGCTAAGAGTGTAGGTCGCACTAGATCACTAAGTGCTCTAGATCAGCTCGAGAGCAAACTTGAGTAAGGCAAGATGATTCAAGATCCAAAATCAGATCCCCTCCCCTTCGATTACGGGGCTCTTATATAGGCGTTCCTGTCAAATCGGGTGTAACCGCCATTGGGCTTCTGTCGCAGTCGTTATCTGTCAGGGCTGCGCAGGTAATCGTTGCAGAGTACTACCCAATCGGGTGATTGACACGTCCCGGGAAGACAGTTACGCCACCATCTATCGAGAGACGTGGGTGCAATCTGTTGACGTGGATGCTTCTTGAAAGCATCGCGTCGCTTAGTTGCGAGCTACCTTGTAGCGAGCTATCCTGTCGCGTAGCGAGCTCCTAGGGGTGCTTCGAGGGGACCCTCTCAAGGTTGCCTTTGGGGCAGTTTTTCTGCCTAAGTGTTGGAGCGAGCTGATTACCCTAGCCGCGAGCTGGGATAGACTCGGAGTATTCCATTTCAGTAGATCAGAGGTCCTCGAGCTCGCATTGTAGCGAGCTCCCCCTATAGCGAGCTATCCTGCGGGCTCGTTACTTAGCCGCGGTCAGGCTGTGGTGCTGAGCTGTTGTTCATGCTGAGTCATGTCCACGTGTCATCGTCTCAAGGGGTCGGGTCAAATCACCCTCCATCAATTGCCCCCCATTCCTCGGGCTAAGAGTGCTACCTTAGCGTGAGGAGTTCATGAAGTGTGACGGGTGGATTTGACCGAAGTTCAAACTTGATTGACTGCTCGCAATTTTTTGGCAGCCATCATGTTTGGTGTTGACGCACGTCGCCTTCTGTCTAGAAACCAGAAGCACAAGGCCAAGAGGTCGCGTCCTGACCAGGCCTCCACTTCTGGGGGAGCTGAGTTCGAGTCTGCTGACCCGGCCTTCGCTTCTCCACCACCTGAGGTTCCACCTGTCCCATTCGAGGGAGTCGCCACGGAAGGTGGCGTAGAAGGGCCCGAGCTCCCGGCGCAAGGGTAGTTTCCTTCGTTTGGGCCATCCCGCTCCTCTTCCCCTTCCCGTAGTTCCCTACTGGGAATTGGGAGGGTGTTAATGACTACATCGTGGCTGCACGAAAGAGCCGAAGGGCGATCTGCCACAAGGAGGTCGCTAGTTGGGGAGAGATGGACCCCAAGGAGCTCGCTAGGTTTGCCTCCGCCCACTGCATGGTGGTAAGTGTCCTTCTTTACTTCCTGTTGAATTCTTCCCGAGCTGTTTAGCTCTTTTTTTTTATGAAATAGTAATGGATTTTTTCTTTTTCTGCTAAGTATGGTGTGCTCTTTTATTTTTTGCCAAAGCGATCTCGTCACTCGAGTTGTTAGAGCTACATACCCGAGGTAGGATTTTTCGGTAATTGTTACCCCGAGCTATCCCTCAGTGTTTGAGGTATTTTTATAGTATACCCCGAAGTGATTACCATGTATGCCCGAACTGTATATTTGTAGGTTGTTCCTTGTCAGGTTCAGCCAATATATTGAGACGAGCTATGCTTCATAGGGTTCGGACCCGAGCTGCCTACGCCTCTGATACTTAATACTTCGGTGAAGCGGCTAAGTCTTCCATCGTGCCGAGGTCTTAGTTAGCTCGGTGTTTTAGCCCTTAAGCTGAGGGAGTGACTTATAGTCCACTCTTGGAGTTCACCCATGCCATGGAGGCGACTGGGTCTCATTGCACCGAGGTTGTGTTAGGTCGGCATTTTGGCCCTTAGGCTCTGAGAGTGACTCATGGTCTACTCAATAGTTCGCCCATGCCATAGAGGCAACTGGGTCTTATCACGCCGAGGTCTTTGTTAGCTCGGCATTTTGGCCCTTAGGCTCTGAGAGTGACTCGTGGTCTACTCAATAGTTCGCCCATGCCATAGAGGCGACTGAGTCTTATTGCGCCGAGGTCGTGCTAGCTCGGCATTTTGGCCCTTAGGCTCTGAGAGTGACTCATGGTCTACTCAGTAGTTACAGATAGTACTACCTTAAGTTGACAATATTCCATGCCCGAGGTACTTGTTTCCCTTCAAGGGTTTCGAGTTCGTATGTTCTTTCCTCGAGCACTCATTTCACTTGGTAGGGTCCTTCCCAATTTGGTCCGAGCTTGCCAACGCCGGGCTCAGGTACCATAACTTTACGAAGAACCAGGTCACCGACGCGGAGATTCCACTTCTTGACCCTGGCGTTATAGTACCGAGCTACTCTTTGTTGATAGGCTGCGGTCCTGGTATATGCGAGGTCCCTTACTTCGTCGAGTAGGTCGAGGTTGGTACGTAGCTCGTCTTCATTTGCCTTGTCATCATATGCTTCCAATCGTAGCGAGGGAACCTCGATCTCAGTTGGGATGACTGCTTCGGTGCTGTAGGTGAGGTTGAAGGGGGTCTCTCCTGTGGTGGTCTTCTCTGTGGTTCGGTAAGCCCATAGAACACTGGGTAGCTCGTCTGCCCATAGTCCATTAGCTCGGTCTAACCGAGCCTTTAGTCCGCGGAGGATAGCTTTGTTCGTGACCTTTGCTTGACCGTTTGCTTGAGAGTGTGCGACTGAAGTGAAGTTCTATTGGATCCCCATGTCTTGGCACCAGTTTTGGAATTTAATGTCCTCGAACTGCTTACCGTTATCAGAAATCAGTACTCGAGGTAACCCGAAGCGGCACACTATGTTCTTCCAAAAGAAGTTTTGGACGTTTCGAGCTGTGATTGTCATGAGAGGTTCAACTTCTACCCACTTGGTGAAATAATCCACTGCTACCACTAGGAACTTCCTCTGGCCTGACGCTGGTGGAAACGGTCCAAGTATATCGATGCCCCATTGTGCGAAAGGCCATGGGCTGGTGAGATACTTGAGGTCAGCAGTGGGTTGATGGTGGATATTGGCGTGCTTCTAGCACTTGTCATACTTTTTGATGAACTCAATAGCATCTTCTTTCATTATTGGCCAGTAGTACCCCTGTCATTGCGCTTTTTGGGCGAGGGCCCTACCCCCCAAGTGTCCGCCACACAGGCCCTCATGAGTGTCGCGGAGTACGAGCTCGGCTTCGGAAGGTCGCAAGCAGCATAGGTAGGGGAGCGCGTAGGATTTTCGGTACAGCCGTTCGTCTATCATGACGTATTTGGCCGCCTGACGCTCTACCCTTTTGGCGGCATTGTGATCTACAGGGAGGGTCCCGTGTAGCAGGAAGCTCATGAGCGGGTCAATCCAGCTCGACTCTGCTTGACTGACAGGAACGACCTCCTCTGCCCCACCCCCCTCGAGAATGCTAGGCCGAGGCAGGTTCTCTATGTACACGGTTCTCATGGTGTTATCACTGGTGCTGGTTAACCGGGATAAGACATCGGCCTCAGCGTTCTCTGACCTCGGGACTTGTCTGATGAAGTGTAACTGGAAGTTGAGCAGAGCCTCTCTTACTTTGGCTAAGTAGGCTATCATAGTCGGTTCGCGAGCTTCGTATTCGCCTATGATTTGATTGACCACGAGCTGGGAATCGCTGCAGATAATGATATGCTTGGCTTTCACTTATTTGGATAGAGCTAGCATGACTATCAACGCTTCGTACTCCGCTTCATTGTTGGATGCCGCGAACTCGAAGCGTAGTGCGTACTCTAGTTTTGTGCCACTTGGGCCATGCAGAACTATTCCGGCTCCGCTGCCCTGCTGGTTTGAGGAGCCATCTACGTGAAGGATCCAGGGCTCCTTATCCCAGTTCGCGCTTGGCTTAACTAGGAGAGATGCCACACTGGTTACTACCTCACGGTGCTCGAACTCAATCGGCCTGGGAGCTCCGAGCTCGCCCGAACTAGGGGCCTCGTGGTCAATTGGCCTGGGGACTTCGGAGCTGAAAGTGCACTCCGTGACGAAGTCTGCTAAGGCTTGGGCCTTGATAGTAGTTCGCGGCTTGTACTGGAGGTCGTAATCGTTGAGCTCAATGGCCCACTTCGTCAGTCGACCAGAGACATTGGGCTTGATTAGGAATTGCCTCAGTGGTTTGTTGGTGAGGACGATAACAGTATGAGCTTGAAAGTACGGATGGAGCTTTCGGGCTGCAATAACCAGTGCATAGGCCAATTTTTCTATCTCTAGATATCTTGTCTCTGCTCCCTGCAACACTTTACTAACATAGTAGATAGGTCGTTGGACCCGATTTACTTCTTTTACTAGTACCGA